GGGGCAGTGGGGACAGGAGGTGGGGGAGGGCCGGCCCAGGCCGGGACCGGACCGGGACCGGGTGGCTAACTGAGTTCCCAGATCGGCTCATTCGGCAGAGGCGGTGCCGCTGCCGGGAACGACCTGCCTCCAGGTGTGGACTGCTGTTGCTAATAAGGGAAAAGGGCAGACTTCAGAAGGTGGTTATGGAAGGATTTCTCAGTTGAATAAGGCTTAACACTTTTCGATGTTTGTTTTAATGTTCTTTTATTTATTAATATATTTTTATTGACTTCGGAGAGGAAGGGAGAGAGAGAAACATCAATGAGAGAGAAACATTAATCGGCTGCCTCCTGCACGCCCCCTACTGGGGACCGAGACCACAATCCAGGCTTGTGCCCTTGACCAGGAATCAAACCAGTGACCCCCTGGCCCCTAAGTCGCTGCTCAACCACTGAGCCATGCTGGCTGGGCTGGAATTGTGTTTAATTTTAGAGATTCCTGTTTGTAAGGAGACCAAAAGCTACAAAAGAAATATAAAAACTTCTGGCATTTGCCAGTTTTTGAGCTTAGGTTCCTTTGGAGCCATTGGTGACACTTAGGAAATTTTGGAGCAGTTTGTTTTTCTCACTGCCTTGATTACGAAATACGGTTACAGTGGGGCCTTGACTTACCAGTGTCCCGACTAACGAGTTTTTTGAGATACCAGCTGTCTCTCGGCCGATTTTTTGCATTGAGTTGACAGAGTAATTTGAGTTAACGGAACGAATTAAACCCGTAAGTCAAGGCCCCACTGTATTGCTGGTTCACTCTGTTGACCAAAGATAACACAATCGCCCTGGAAACCCTAAATAGGGGCACAGTTATTGGAACATGCCTTCTTGACGCCAAGCTTACTTTGTTAATATTGAACTGATAAGAAAATTCATGGTTGCCCTTTTTTAAAAGCAGGTTATTAATTTTGCTTCATGTCCCAGGGAGAAATCATGTATTAAAAACTAAGGGGTATCTCTAAGTCAGTTGGATTGACCCATGTAAAGTGTAGGTCTTCATCACGCATGTACGTATGCACTTTTTCCTTCAACTGAAGACTGTTCTCCCCGGTCTCACACAGTTGACTGAAATGCTAATATGAAGAGATCCTGTGATTTGCCCTCATCTCCCCCAAATGCTGTTTTCTTGAACTGACTCCCAGGAGAAACTAGAAACTCCGAAGCACCCTACCTGGCAGAGAGCATTGTATTTCAAAAGTGGAGTTTGCAAAGTTAAAATGTCTAATTGGTGGGTTTTTGTTCGGACATAGTTTGGACCAGCCGACCTTGCTAACAAGGGCCCTAACAATTAACACTGGTCCCAGAGAGGGTGGTTATTCATGCTGGCCTTGGGTAAAGGGCAGCAGGAAGTAGCATGGAACACAGATAGAAACTGACACTGTTTATGTTTTTAAATTACCTGCTCATTTTTCTCTTTATTTGATCTAGTACAGTGGTTCTCAACCTTCTGGCCCTTTAAATACAGTTCCTCATGTTGTGACCCAACCATAAAATTATTTTTGTTGCTACTTCATAACTGTAATGTTGCTACTGTTATGAATCGTCATGTAAATATCTGATATGCAGGATGGTGTTAGGCGACCCCTGTGAAAGGGTCGTTCGACCGCCAAAGGGGTAGCGACCCACAGGTTTAGAACCGCTGATCTAGTCAGATCTCTCAAAAGTCCTAACCTGCGTCAGCTGTTCCAAGTGGAGTCATCGAAAGGCTTTGCACCCACGTTAGCCAGGGCCTTTCAGAGGGGGTAGGGAGCCCTGCAGGCTGGCATGGTGCAGGCAGCAGTGTTTGCCGAGGGACCCGTCTCAAGCAAAGGTGACAGTAGGAGGACAAAATCAAGTGATCTTAGCCAGCAAGGTGCAAACCTTAGTTATTAGAGATTTCATTAAGAGAGCATTGCTTAAACATGACCAGCATCTTCTTAATAGGCACCCATTCTTTAATTGAAGGTCTCTCTCTTGTCAGTGAAACTGCTCAGGGCAAGAAAGCCTTGTTTAGGTTGGGCCTGAGAGGTGTGTAAGATGTTATTATTGTGGCCCTCCAGTGGGTTTACAGAAGAGAGCTGGTTACTGGAAGTCTCGGGGTTTGTATGGCATTGTGAGGTAACAGACATGGTAAATAGCTAAAGTGCAGAGAAGGGTGGAATGCATGCCAAAGAGGCAGGTTGCTGTTGGAGCACAACGATGAATTCTCGCTGGAGGACTTGGGGAAGGTCACATCTGGACCTTGAGCAGAGAGTAGAATTTTTATAGGCAGAGGAGTGTAATGTTGCATTCCTGATGGTAGACACCATGAGTAACGATAAGAAGTTTAAAATGTAATTGTCTTCAGAGATATAGGAGCAAGTGATATGCTGAGGTTGGACCTAGTGTAAGGAGGGGTGGGGTCAGGTGAGAGGCGTGCCTGGAGAGATAGGCTGTGTGGTGATAAACTTTTTTTTTTTTAATCAAGGTTCTGGTTTATTTATTTTTTGTTTTTTAATATATTTTATTGATTTTTTACAGAGAGGAAGGGAGAGGGATAGAGAGTCAGAAACATCGATGAGGATGAGGGAGAAACATCGACCAGCTGCCTCCTGCACACCCCCTACTGGGGATGTGCCCACAACCAAGGTACATGCCCCCGACCGGACTCAAACCTGGGACCTTTCAGTCCGCAGGCCGACGCTCTATCCACTGAGCCAAACCGGTTAGGGCAAGGTTCTGGTTTATTTTTCTTTTTAATTAAAGCAAACATAAAAGCAGAGGGAATGATATAATGAACTTTAATATATCCATCAAATAGATTTAACAGTTTGTTAAAACAATTTCTTTATTGGCTTTTTGCTGTTGTTGCAGCAGTTTAAATTCCAGACAACACAATATTTCACCCCTAGATAGTGCAGTAGGCACCCCCCAAAAACGGGGCATTTTTTAATATTACTACTAGAAGCCCGGTGCACGAAATTCGTGCCCAGGAAGAGGGGGTCCCCTCAGCCCAGCCTGCACCCTCTCCAATCTGGGACATCCCTCTCACAATCCAGGACCGCTGGCTCCTAACTGCCCACTTTCCTGCCAGCCTGATCACCCCTAACTGCCTCTGCCTGCTGATCTGATCACCCCCAACTACCCCCCCACCC